ACTTTCATTTTTTTTCAACTTTACTTTTTTATCATCGTTAATGATTACCAATATATTCCTGTTTATTTTTTAGTAAAATAAAATTGAATTTTCAATTAAAAAATTGAATTCATTGTATTTAAATTTTACATATAAAATAATAAAACTATTTAAATTCTCAATACTATATTCTATTTTGAAAATATATTAATATTACAATCATAAAAAAATAACTTTATTTTTGTAACTATATTTGTTATTAAAATATAATACACAATGTATTCATTCATTAGAAACATTCGGTAATAATAATAATTTAATACATTGAAAGAAATTTAAAATTGATATTTATATAAAAAAAATATTTTGTTTGTTACAAGTTTTGTCTATTACTTAATATTCTGTATTATTGCATAAAACATAAAAAGAAATACACCAAAAAGTATATATATATATAATATATTTTATATTTTTATAACAAAATATTTATAAAAATATTGTACATATTAAACAGTACTTTGAATATGCAGTTCAATTAAGTAATAATGGATTCTGAACTTTTAATAAGATATGAATATCATTAGATACAGAATACATCTTTTTGTATCTTCATAAAAAAAAAAAATGAGTATTCTAATTTTATTTAAATTGAAATTTTATTAAATTTTTTACCGCTGACTACAATGTTTCATAGGATATCTTTTTTCTTGAATCTTAAATATATAAAACCAAACATTTAAAATATAATAATATATCTATATTTTATCATCCGTATAAAAGATTGGTCTATTACATGTAGAAATTAATTGAGTATTGGCATTATGGATAGACAAATAATAAGTATTTAATAAATCATCACTATTTCATTAATTTTCTGTTGCGTGAAATTGAAATCGTCTAAATTTTAAAAATTAAAAGAAAAATAATATTCTTGATTTATAAATAATAAATATAAATTTTATACTTCGTAAATAAGATTTATATAGATAATATATATTACAATTATATAAGTCTATTTAATAATAGCCATGTATCAAACAAAATATTTTTTTTATATATAAATATCAATTTCAAAACTTCATTAAATGTATGAAATTATAATTATTTATTCTATCGACCATAAAGTTTGTAAAATTAATAATATTTTTTTCAAAATCAACATGCATTAATTTGCCACTACTAATATTACTATTCATATTAATAATAATTTACCTAATCTTATAATAATTGATAATAGCAATGTTTTTATATAAATATTAATTAGTCTACTATTTTCTGTAACTTCGGCTTCATAAATATAAATAATTTCACATTAATTTTAGAACAAGTAGAGCTATTAGAATATATATAAAATTTATAACGTAGTTTTATTACCTTATTGATTATTGTAAATTATGTTTGAATATTTTTTATGAGAAACTTATAAGTAGTGATTGATACATTGATAAGTATTGCTAACAATCATTAACTACGATATATAAATAATGAATAAAAAATATTCTTGAGACTCTTGTATTATGAAAGTAAAATTTATATACATTTTTTACACATTTATACATAATTTTGTAGGATGTAATTATTTATTTATAGTACTTTATGAATTGAGATTTGTTCTTACTTTCTAATTCTTAAATTAATAATAAAATATTATAAATACTATTTTTCATTACCATGTTTAATCAAATTTTATAATAAATATTATATTATAATCAATAAAAATTATTTAATTATTAATAAATGTAATAAATAATTAACATTAATAAATTTAACATTATATGTTGCAAAATTTTTCATTATCAAACCTAACTGTTCTAGTTCATTCCTATTTTTATTATGGAAAGTTATTAATATAAAAGAATATCTTTTTATTTTATTGAATTTTATTAATTCCTACAATTCTTATATGAGAATAACATAATAACACAAAACCAAAAAAATTACCTATCTTTATTGAAGAGAATATTAAAAGAAAAATTACAACTCTGATTTATTTGATTCTCGTGCATAAGTCACAACGCGATAAACATTATCAGATTATTTTTATATTCTCATACAAAAACAAAAGTATTTTTCTAAATATTTTTCAGAAATTAATCCTATCTAAGACTTCAAATATAATCTGAAATATAATAGTATGAAGTAGACAAAATTAAATATGTGATATAAATAAAGTATTTTCAAAGAAAAAATGAAAATGATACTGCAAGAAAATTAAAGTGGAAATGATGTAAAAAATTTCTACAAATGAAAATAAAAAATTCTTGCTAAAAACTAATTGCTTAGAGCGATACATTGATACTTGAATATTTTAAAGTTACACATGTGCTCAAACATTCAAGGAAGAATCAGTCGTATTCTCAAGTGAGAAATAGCCGCTATTCTATATAGAGAGATTCGACCATTGGGATAGAAGATTCACTGCTGCTCAACTATTCAATAATTAAATTAAAGCTACAATTTTTATTGTTCCATCCATTTATTTGCAAAAGATATTTTTTTACTTTATTACTATGGTATAGTAATTTTAAGATATTTTAATATTGTTTACATATTGTAATATTAGTCTTTTTAATGTTCTTTACTACATTAGTATTAAACTAAAATAAAATAGTACAGTGTACCATGTTGCAACTCTTATGGCCAATATTAAATATATCAAATTATCTTTTAACAATTTGTACTGCAAATATTTACTTTTGATTATCTGTTTGAATATAATAATTTCAAATAATATTTAAAAATTTTAATTTTTTATTGAAGTAAAACAATTTAAATGTATATTTAAATAAATTCTTCATGAAGATATTACTTGTCTTAAATTTTGCATTACTTGTATCGAATAAAATAGGGGTATAGTTCCCATACTTTTGTATATATAAAATTATAACAATTATATAATTTTTATTTCTATGTTAATATAAGCAATGCCCGTTTTCAAAGCTTTCAGATTTATTTATTTTTATGAAAGCAGTTGATTTCTCATTTTTATCATCTAATCTGATCGATCTTAAAATTTTGATCAATTAAAAAAGTTAAAAATCGCAATGCTTTTACTTATGTATTACAAGTTAAAACATTTAAAAATATTCAATTTCATAAATTTGAACAAACAATATTCTAACCAAAGTTTTTTTAATTCACATTCTGATAATATTTTTTATTAAATAATCAAAAAGTTATAGTACAGTATATTTTAATAGCAATTAATAATTCATACTTACAAAGTATGGTTATTTATTTAAATACACATTATTTGTTTATTGACATTTCATTTATATTTGGATTATATTCTGTTTCTATTTTATAATCATTAATCATTCTAGGTTTTTGGATTATCAAATTTTTTAATGTTCTTTCTTCCTTTATTTTTATTTTATTTTATTTCTCAGTTTCCTTTATTTTATTCATTATGTTTCATAAACCTAAAGTGACATATTATATTATCATATTTATGATTGTCTTCTAATCTCAGAAACAGTTTAAAAATTACATAACACATAATCTATAAAATTTATAATACTTGTCATATACTCATTTTTATTAACATTCAAAATTATCTAAATGAAAAAATTTTTTTAATTAATGTTAATGAAAAATAGGTTTTTTAAAAATTCAGATTCTTACATCATCTTATCTACAATAATAAATAAATGTTTACAATATAAATTATAAAATAAATAAACAATTATCAAAAAAGTTATTTTAAATCCATAATTTTTCATAAAGCATCCTGAATACTATATAAATATATAATTCGGATTTCTTAATAATGTCGTATTCAATATTTCAGTTTCGGTAAAAAAATGTAGCACGAAGATCTTTCTGTACAATATTTATAATATTTCTAAGTAGTATATAATATACTAGGAGTATATTATTTTTGTAATGGTATAGTTCAATAGAAGATATGAAAAATAGGATTATATAAGATGATTTTAAAGAAATGTTTATGATTTAGAATTAATTTTTTTATGAAAGTCTTAATATGTAAATGTGTATGTGCATAAATATTTGTGTCTGTCCTCTGTGTTTTCTGTATATGCATATGAACATGCGTACGTGGATTTGTGTGTAGTTAGCGGATGGGTATTTATTAGTATATGTGTATTATAAAACATCTATTACTGCCAAATTGAAGGTATAGTATTTGTATAATCGAAGTAGATTAAGTTTTGTATTAAACAAGTATTGAATTCTCCTGATTACTTAAATTAATTATTCGTCATAATTTCTTCAAAAAGAATAATAATATTTTGATAATCAGAATTGGGTAGAATTATAAAAGATAATTCTTTCATATATTATCATTGTTTATGAAAAAAAAATTTTTAAATATTTGAGAAATTTATTAAATTAATTTCCTTTAAGTTTTTGTTCCAAACATCAATAAGTACTCTAATATGTAATCTGTAACAAAAATAACACACACATAATACATAACTCATTTAAAATGCATTTAATTCATAAAAATATCTTTCATATTAATAATTTAATTTTAATATTCTTGAGTGAAATATTATACAACTGTCTAAAAAATTGATTTATTTTTAGTAATAGATAAATGTCAGCTTATACAAGAGTTTTTATATATGAATGTATAAATAGATGACTAATTACAATAACTATATTCAATATATTACTAATAATAATCATAATTTAAAAAATAGAGGATTTAATAATCCCACTATTTATTGCCAAATTTATCTATTAAATGTAAAAATTAAAATATGAACATTTTATTTACAAAAACCTATATACGAAGTCTCATATTTAACAGCAAAATTTAATTATTTTTAATTGAACATTATATATTTATATGGTATAAAAATAAAAATTATAAATCATAATTGAAAAACATAAATTATTAATAAATAGCTACTTGATAAACTACTACTAAATAATACTTTTAATTTTCTACAAAATTATCTGGATATTTATATTAATAGATGTTTATATAATTAAATATTTCATATATTTAAGCTTAAAACATACTTACAATTATAAATCAAAAATTCTATATTTTAATTTGATATTTGTTTTAATAAACTAAACAGTGCATATGAAGTTTTTATTATCTGTAATATCATATTTCTTTTAAGTTATATTTCGATTTATTTAATTACTTAAAGATTAAAATTAATTATTAAATATAATTATTAATAATATACCCATAAAAATGTACGAAGTGATAAAGTGCACTGCCCATGAAAGGAAATATTAGAGCCAGATTGCGCATACAACATAGCCAACCACAAATTTCTTTTTTCTTGTGTAGTACAACTTAACCATTTACTTGAATAAAGTGAATCCGCTACACTCTGACTCTGTTAAATAAAAAGTAATTTTATTTATGTATATTTTTATTTTGGTATTTTTATATTTATATAAAATATACTATATATTTTTATATCATAATTTAAGGTATAGTATATTTTCAACTACATTCATATATAAAGTATATAAATTGAATCATTATATTTAAGTAATTTTAATTATTTTAATTTTTTTGTGTTAAAAATATCAATATTGTAAATGTTAACTCTAGATGTAAAATGAAATGTTTTAACGTTCTGCTTACTTGTAATCCCAGTTCATTTCCAAACCAACAATAAAAAAAAATTTCCCAAAGTATACAGATGATATACATACAAATAGTAAAAAATTCATAACTAGCTACTGGCTTCTGTATAAAAAATATTTAGAATTAAAAATCTTTTATGTTTCGTTCTTGTATTTTTATAAATATATAAAATTTATATACATATATATATATATGTGTATATATATATACATATATATACATATATATATACATGTATATACATATATATATATATATATACATATATGTATATATACATATATATATATATATATATATATATATATATATATATTTATTTATTTATTTATTTATTTATATGCAGAATTCATTGTAAATTAATAAATTATTATTACTAATTACCTGAGATATTTGAAAGATACTACAACATATCACAAGAAGAGTAAAAAAGAAATGAGGTACAATAACACAAATGAAAAACGATTCAATTTTTATTGCTGTATTTTGTATTAATTTGTGATGTATAATAAAATCTTTTATTGATAATGTGCAATTTATCAGTCTATAACTATTTATCTTGAACTGCCCAACAGTTAATATAATAAATCCATATGTCATCGTATCCAATGACACATTTAAAGAAATCCCATAAAATGAAGTAAATACTTGCATTGCATAAGTAATCCAGAAACTAATATTGGAAGTGCTATAGGGTCGATAAGTTTTATAAGGTAAATAAAAAACATTATCTGTAGAAATTAAAATTGGCATTATCAGTAAAATAATACCACTTATTTGTGTAATGCATAAAAAAAAAAAGAAAATATTCTTTGCAGTATTTGAATATTCTAAAATTATTTTTTCCTCTTCAAACGACCTTGATTGATAAACTGGCAGTCGAAAATCATGAAGTAAATCCTCCATTTCATGTCGTCGAATTATAAAATTCAAAATTTTTAAACAAAAAGAAATAAAAGTAAGTGTTATAAAAAGGTTGTCACTTAAATCATCTATGTTATCTTGCATTGTAATAAGTCTTATAAATTGACCAATTATTACAGTAAAAACGACAAACATTGCTGTAATTCTATAAATAATTTTTAATATAACAAATCTATTATCCTCATACCACATCCCACATAATTGCAAAGTACGGAAATGAAATGGCAAAATATCCATTTTGATACTACTTAAACACAAAAGTTATATATAGTTAATAAATACAGTTTTTTTCAATTTCTATATATTTAATTGTATTAACTGCACAAATGAGTGTATAAATTTCAACTGAATTTAATATGAATTCTGAGTGTATCATTTTATTAGAAATAATCGTATGCATTAACGTACTTCGTATATCATCACTATCACAATAACTTATTAAAATCGCTTTTCTATTATGCATACATAATTGCTGAGTATAGGGTATTTCATTGAGAATACATTTAGCAAGCATTTATATGAATAAGGTATTATTTTATTTTCTGATATATTACTTAATGTAGTTATTACATTATCCTCAATTTTGTTTTTTTTTTTAATAAGATCTTAGGTATTTCTTTTTTATACATTCTGTCATATTATGGAAATCAATTAATCTTGAATTTAACTGAAATTTTTATATGTATATAAATATAATATGTAAATTATAGACATATATTGATTGCTCGAATAAAAAATATGATATATTTTTTTTTATTGTTTTTTCTAATATTTTAGTTTTTATAGTAGGTAAATATTCAAAAACTGCCTTAAACGTTAATGAACTAATATAAACTAATTAAATAATAAAATAATTAATAAACTAATTATAATTTATACAATGAAATTGAATACAAAATATTTTTAATATCGCTAAGCATACATTGATTCATTAATTTAATAAGATGAAACTGTTAGTTTTAATACAAAGTAATTTATATTTTTTAACAATAAAATATGAATATTTACTATTTAAACTAATATGGAAATTAAAAAATTAATACATGTTTCGTTATTTATAATATATCAAGATCACATTTACAAATAGATACTGTATTTTCAGTAAAAATTATAGAATTTATAATTAACTGTAAGATATTTAAGTTTTTATAAATTCAATTATGTATTTGATATTTGTAATAATTTATGGAATTTTATGTTTATATAATGACAAGATTAGATTAAAATTACTAATATATTATTTTCTGCTTACTTACTGAATAGTTTAATACTATAATAACAAGAACCTATTAAGTAATTAAATATAATACTACATAAAATTTTATTTTAATGTAAATGAAAATATAAACAAATATCAATATGAACAAATTTATAACTTTTTAATTTATTTTTAGTGAAATAGAATTGAAATATTGTTCTTCGTATTATTCATTAATTTTTTTTGTATTATTTAACGTACTATTTATTTAAATAATAATTGAATTATCTTTCAGCATTTATTTCTATTTTATTTATAAATTATTTATAATTTATATTCTATATTATTTCTTTTGAAACAACATTTTTTTATTAGAATGATCTATAAATTCCTTAAATTGTGCACAAAATTCTGTAATAGTACGCAAATTTCTAGAAGACTTCAGATATACAATGGCAAATGATTGTCAAATAAAATCTGAAATTCTTCTTTAAAAAATTATATATACCTGTAATTTATATGATTCATTACCTGGTATTGTATGAATGCTGTCTTCTTTAGCTTGCAAGAATTGTACTAAATAATTGTGCCTAAATACCCGAAAAAAACTAATATTTAATAAATAATATACTCTTTTTTGAGTATGCTTTTGAGATGACTGAATTTTAGAAAAAGCAAATAAATTGCCTATGATACAAGTTCTTATTTTGATTAGATAGTTTGTAAATGGTTTGGTATAGTTACTTAAACTGTATAAGTCCTGAACACAAGCAAAATTGGTATATATAAGATACAGGTGCTGGTCTGCCACCTACTTTTTTCTTTTCGTTTTCTACTTTAAAAAGTAAGAAAAGGCGCACACGCGCAACATGCATACCTCAGATTATTCTAATGCCTACTTATTTTATAAGGGAACCTGTAGCAGGCAATTTAATTATAAGGCGTTGATTTCCTGTACATTTTACGTCAAAACTTATGATTCTTCTATTTAAATGCGTTAAATAATTTGCGATGAAAATCACTTTGTCCAACTAATATAATGACCAAACGTCTTCAAATTGACTCAAGTATAATGAAATATGTTAAAATCAAACACCTATTACATGGTTCAACTAATTTGTATTATATTCAAACTTGTAGCCTATTGACTTAAAACATAGCTTAACCAATCATCGTATATAAATGAAATAAAAATTATGTAAGAAATATCTACATACTGTAATTATAATTGCAAATGCAGTATATCTAGACTCATTCGACTCCTAAAGCCTTCTTAAAAAAATCTTATCATCTCTTAAAAATACCACAATTTACATATACACTTTTTCTAATTCATCGCTATAATAGTTTCCTCCATGATGAAGCTGCAATTCCTATGTTCTTATATAAATTTTACTCTCTATTGACAGTGTCATTCTTTCCTTTCTTATAATAAAAATCAGAGTTAAAAACTGCAAGCAATCAAAAAAACTTTGAATATTAAACGTTATTTTTAAATAGCAGTTTTAAATAAAATTTCTTTCTAAACAGACTTTCGAGAACGATTAAATCAATGGATTTTTTTCGTTAAAATTATAATATTACTATTAGTCGTCTCTCAATATTGTTCTATTAAAAATTGATGTAATAATTGAGATAAACTGTTATTAAATGAATTTTCTATAATTAATAAAAAAATTTAAGAATTAAAACGGGTTTAATGTAATTTTTTAATACGGTAGACTTTGATCTTTTCCTATACCATTTCTTATAAACATAATTGAAAATAAAACATTTTATAATTTGACGTTAGTAAATTTATATGTAAAAAGAAATAAGTATATAAATATATAGTTATAATATACAATCAATATTAAAAATTCCTAATTTATATTCATTTTCTATAATACTAACCGTATTTATATATAACTTTTGAAATCATTATATGTCTGTTAAAACTTGCATTTATTTATATCCTTCACTATAATAATATTTTAATTTAAATAAAATATTAATTGTAATTCATTTTGTAGCTATATGTATTTTTTATTATTATTTATTGATTTTTAATAATTTTAATTATTATTTTTTAATATTTTTGACATTTTTAATTCTTATTATAAAAGTGTTAAACAAAATTAAATCACATTTTGTTTTTAATAATCAATAACTATTTTTACACTGTTTCGACTGCAACGATTATTACGAATTATATGCCTGTACAAATTTTTTTTTTTTATCAATATACTCATAATTTTGTTATGCTTTATTTTTAGCAATGTATTATTAGAACATGAAATATATATCAATAAAACTTTTAATTGTAATAAAAACTTTCAGATTTAGAATATGATTTATTTGTATTTTAAATGAATAATAACTAAAAATTTCCATTTTCATGAAAATTTACTTTTTATACAGAAAGTTAGGTTCAGCTTTCTGAGTAAATCTACTTAAAATTATTAAAATGAAGAACATTGAATATTCATTTTACAATTATCGTATTACTTGGAAAGAATAAAAAATTATTTGATAAAAAAGCAAATTTTAACTTACAATCTTCAATTCCGAAGAAAATATAGTTTTGATTATACAAAAATAAAAAAATTTTAACATTTTAGCATTTGAAGAGTTTTTGGTGATTAGAACAAACGAATCGTCAGTTATTGCATTTGTGCAGAAAGAAGTAATAAATCAACGCCGAATTAGTTAATCTATAAGTGTTAATCACGCCTCCCTACGTAAATCGATCTTTTCAAAATGATATTAATTTTCTTATAATATTATGTAGAAATCAAAATATTCCAATAATTAATTTACTGCGATACCAAGAACATAGATAGAAAATTATAAAATATTTTAAAATTATAATGATAGAAAATTATAATATATATTCAAAAATTATAATAACACAAGATTATAAAATATTCAAAAATTATTATAACACAAAATTATAAAATTTTCAAAAATTATAATTTAGTCAAAAATGATAAAATATTCAAGAATTATAATAACACAAAAGTCATCAAATAATTACAATAGTCATTGTCATTGTAATTGAATAAATTATAAGAAATTTTTTAAAGTCTTAATAAACCCTTTAATATCCGGTGATAATTGCAAAGTAAAGTTACTTTGAATGTACTTATGGTAAAAATGTATATAAATATTTTTATACAAAAAGATGATCTAAGATTAACAAGAGGATTTACTATATAGTAGCAAAATTAAAAAAGTATGTCTATTAAATAAACAAATCTATAAAATCGACAACTATTTTGAAGTTAAATATAAAATAATAACATTTCATAAAGAAAGATTAATTCCAGTTTTTCCCATATCCAAATAAAATGACTAATATATTTATAATAAAAATAAAATTTTTAACTTAAATAAAATAAATAAATAAAATTATTTGAAATGCAAAATTGATGAAATATAGAAAAACTCCATATTTCTTATTGTTTATTTAGATTGAATCATTTTCTTAAATTCTGTTTCAATTAGTAAATAACAATTAGCTATGACTTTCTTTTGTAGTTTTTATTATAAATAATATAAATAGCATTAATAATTAAATAAAGAATTTATTCTAACTATAATTTAAATAAATATAAATTTATATATTTTTAAATAAATTTTTAAACAAAATATCAAAATGAAGTAAATAAAATATAATACTGGATTTTGTTTACAATGAATGTTTAGAAAATATTTATATAGATAGAAAATATTCTAATGTTATTAATAATTATTAATTAAAATATATTAAAATAATATGGAAAAAAATTAAGAAAAGAATGAGAGTATCTCAATAATGTTTACTCTAAGGGTTTTATAATTATAATGAATACTGAAATTTAAATTAGATATTCTAAATTCTAATCAATATTATATAAATAATAATAATTTAGAATTTTTAAGAAAAGTCAGAATGTATAAAAAATTAATCGTTTGTTATAAAATAACTTTAAATATAATGTAAAAATCAGTGAAGTCAATGTAAACCTGAAAATGGATAAATAAAATTAACTGGATTTACAAACATGTGTAAATATTT